TGCTTTAAGTCTCTTGGTAGTGCTGACTTGCTTCCTAGAAAGGCTGCACCCGTAACAGCCCCACCAGTGGTGGCACAGGGACCTGCCTCCATAGAGACACTTTCTATGTACTCACACCGCTCGGCAAGAACAAAGACATACTCTTGCCTTTCCACTTTATTAGTAAAAGTTCATGGGATTTGGCCATTTCCACACTGTTATTTAGTAGAGTAAAAATGTGTAAACCGTTTGTAGACTGAGTCAAGCTTCGGTTTTCTTGGTAGAAGCTGTTTTTAGTCCTGCACCTGGAGGTTAATAGAATGTGCCTAAGCTTTGGGATGGTGGTGACCATCTGGGGGTCATGTTTGCTTCCCGTGGCCCTTTGCAGTAAGCTGATTGTGCTTTAGAGAAATTATTGGGCCAGTAGAGTTCATGCACTGCTTCGTTTCTCCTTTACACACAAGGCTGAGGGAGATAGAAAGGGAAGACTGTTTAAACAGTTAGGAAATTAATTCATTCTAACAACAAGCATTTATTTGGTGTTTTCCTAGCTCTCATCACTGCTAGATTTATAGTGGTGGAGAAAGTTACAGTGTTCTTCCCAGTGTGGCCTTTTGAACAACCAAAAAATCCAGTGTTCTCCGTCACCATATAATAGGATGCCTCAGACACCTTTTCATTTTTATTACTTTAACTTAATGTTTAAAATAAAAAGTGTATTTACGGTATATAGTATGATGATTTGGTACATGCATGCATAGTGGCATGATTTGTACAGTCAAGCTAATTAACGTATCATCTCCTCACACAGTTACCATTTTCTTCTGTCTAATGAAAATACCTGAAATCTACTCTCAACAGATTTCCAATATTCGATACAGTGTTACTAAGTAGAGTCACCATTGCTGTACATTAGATCTCTAGACTCACTCCTCCTACAAACTACAGCTTCGTACCCTTTGACCAACATCTTCCCATCCCCCACCTGCTTTCTGCTCTTTGTGTCTATGCATTCAACTTTTTTATATTCCACATATAAGTGAAATCTTAACTGGGCTTGACTTGAAGTAGAAAGAATTTACCTGGGATCAGGCCGCTGGGTTCTCTTTCATCTGTGACTGATTGACTGGCTGCACATCCTTGGAGACACAGCTGATCTGTGACTTGGTTTCTTTATCTATAAAACGTGAGCTTTGGACTAACTGAACTCTGGGCCTTTCTATTTTTCTATTTTTTTTAAAATTTTATTTTGCTGAAGATTGACTATCTCCCTCTATTTATGTAAAAGCTGAAATCCACACACTATTTTAGGAGCTAGTTTGTATATTAAAATACAATCATAGCAATCAGTTTTGATTGTTTTGGTTATAAAAATCCCTTTTTTCTTATTGAAAGTCCAGATCTTCCCTGTCCAATAGGGTAACTACTAGTCACATGCAGCAATTTAAATTAAAATTAAGTAAAATTAAATACAATTAAAAGTTAAGTCCCTCAATTGGACAATAAATTAAGTTTATTATGAACAGGATCAAGTTTAATTCCTGTACTATGAGGTAGGTATTATTTTCTGTATTTTATATATGAGAAACGTGATGGCCAGGTCAATTAATGGGTCCAAGGATAATACACAAGGGTAATAAGTGGCCAACTCTAGGCTGTACCTACATGAGTGTTCCTGCAAAGTGTGGTCTTTTGCCCATTGTGTTGTGTTGATTCTTCTCACGTTGGTCACACCGTCTCTTCTGTACCAATGTCAGCACATTTAATATCCACCTTTGTACTTTTATTACTTTTAGTGGCTCTATAATCTACATAAATATTTGTGACTGGGAAGACGTGCTTAGTAGTATGGAAGAGCTTTGTAGAGTTAAGCTAAAACAGGGCTCAGTCAGCTTTTTCTGTAAAGGACAAGTGTTTTAGGCACGTGGGCTGTACAGTCTCTGGGGCAACTCTGCAGCTCCGCCTTTGCAGTAGAACAGGCACCACTGACAATATGTAAACAAATGGGCATTGCTGGATTCCAATAAAACCTTATTTACAGGAACAGAACATGGGCAGGTTTAGCCGTTGGGTCCCAAGTTAGATGGTCTTTCATTTCCACCATCTAGGCTGTTTTATTTGATTTATTGATTTAGTCATTCATATATTCATTTGTATATTTAAAATGCACTGCTATATAAAATACATTGCTCAGATAAGACAGAAGTTAAGATAGGTACATAAAGAGATGTAATTTGAATTTAACAATCTTGGGTCTGTTTTGATTGAGAAGCACTTGAATTGCCCAGAGTTCTTAACTTTGTCCTTGGGTAGGTGTATGAGTTTTTTCAAGTTACAAGATATATTTGAGCCTTAGTTTCTTTGTCAAATGGTAAGAATAATACTTACCTCACAGAGCCATCGAAAGGATGACATGGAACACCACTGTCCAAATAGAAGAAAGGCTGTTGGTGGTAGTGTTATCTTCCTGGGTCTCCTGTATTTTCCAGATGAATTATTTCTGACAGAGAAACTTGACAAAGGCACAAGAAAGGAGTTTACTGCTCAGATGGAAGTGGGAAAACTATCATAGTCATTATTCTCTCTGTAATAGATAACAGAAAAGAACCAATTGTTTTGGGCAGGAAGAAATGACAGTGGGGAAGATATGCAGGGGTTGAGCAAATAGATAAAAAATGTGAAAACGAGGATAAGAAAATTAAACTTTCTTCAGCAAGAGAGGGATGGAGTGAGGAAAACAAAGAAGGGATGTAAGGATGGTGCCCACATATGGAAACAGAACCTAGAAGTGGCTTTGGATGTGTGAGGAGCTGGGAACTGAGAAGGAAAGGGAAATAAAGGGATGTGTAAATAAATGCATTGAAAGCACCTTTCCACAAGAATTCTGAACTTTGTATGATAGCAAGAAATTTTGGGTTGTCGGAAAAGTCATGACAGATTTTTTTCTGTGTTTTTCATTGCAAAAATGCATCATGACTTTTCTGACAACCCAATACTTTCTTGTGTCTTGCCAAGGTCTTGCGCTGGGTAGCTGACACCCTAACAGTCTGACTTTGTGCTCAGATGTATAAGGCAGTACATTCATATTTAACATTCCTATCTTCTGCAGTGACAAGCCACTGAACACTGTGGATGGGAAGACAGAGATTTCTGTTGAAGCTGAGCCAAAAACACTTCTCAAAACAACTCAGACAAAATAGTGCCATAAATGAATAAATCCCGAGATCTGCTGAGTATCTTTGAAAACATCTCACATGACAGCAGTCAGAGAGAAGAGCTGTGCACAAGCCTCTCAGACGCAGTCACATGCATGTGTGGCGATTTGCCTCGGAGCGAGAGAGCCTCGGCTTCCTTTTGGAGCTGGGAGCCCAGTGCTGCCTGGGTACATACTAGATACATTTTTGGAGCACTGTAGTTCTCTCCTAATGCAGCCTAATGTCGTGAAGTTATGTATTTTCTTGGTATGATTATAGAGCCCTTGAAGTAAAATAACCACATAGTTGTGTGCTTAAAAGTAGCCCAATAGATAAAAATTCTAAATTGGAGAAGATGGATTTGGGTTCATAGTAAATTTTTTATGAACACAGGGATATGACATCTAAGGATTTTTATAACTGAGATCCCTGAGTTAATTTAAAACTTGATTCTGTGACAATGGGGAAAGCACACTATTTTCAGTGATCCCGAACCCCTCAATCTCTCCCAGTACAGTAGAGTTTGCTCAGGTGTATCTGGGTCTTTGTTAACCTCATCTGTGACAGGAATGGCCTATAGTAGATGACTGTTGAGGAGACAGACCTTCAGCTGTGAAATTTCATGTGCTTCTTACTTAATTCTAGGCATTTTTTAAAGAAGGATCTGGTCAGCACTCTGTCTTCTGGCTGCTTTGAATCCCTTCTCAAGTAGTTTAGTCCTGCTCCTGGGTTATCGTGGGTGCGTATAGAAACTTGCTCTTTTACAAAACACAAATGTAATTGGTGGGATGCTGCAATGGTATTAAGTTTCAATGGCATGGCCAGATGTAAGGATAGAAAGGATTTGCATTTATAAAAATAATTTCAGCTGTCCATTGGTATAGTCTATCACTATGTGTGATACCTCCTTAAGTTTTTCATTTTTATTGTTAAGTACCGGGGGTGCCAAGAAAACATACAAGTGGACACTTTGGTCAGCATTGCTCAAGCAGTAGTTCGCCGTAATCAGAAGTGTCTGGACGCTGATGGTAACCACTTTGAGCACCTCTTGTAATTGCAGAAGTCAAACGTGACTTGTATTCATTTTTTGTTATCAGTATATATTGAGTACAATTTTAATAGTTTCCTTTTCTTAAAATGTGTATACATTTTTTTGGCACCCTCTGTATGTTAAATAAAAATAACCACCACCTAAAGTGGTATATTTTATTCAAAATGTCAAAAAAAATGTTGTTAATGTTACTTTGTAATGTAGTGAAATAATCCGGAATTCATGCTCTGTCAAGGTAAGCAGAACTTTGTCGTCATGACGAAGCAGAGCGGGAATGTGAGGAAGGCTGTTGCAAGCATCATCTCTCTTGCTGTACTTCAGACACATCCATGTAATCATGTGCTTCCTTTAAACCTGCTAGGGCTCAACCAAGTCCAGACTTTTAGCTGATCCCTCTGAAGTTTTTTGTTGTTGTTGTTGTTCTAGAATGTAGTCCAAATAAAAGGAAGTTGTCACATTTAAAGTTTTATTCAACATGAGGGCATCAGAACATGACATGACGTCATACTGGAAATTCTCTTTAAACCCAAGGGTCTAAATGGCAAGGGGAGGACAACTAGGAATAGAGATCTAAAATGACGTTCAAGATCCTTTTGATTTAGAGCAGTAAGTATTAAGCCTCTGTCAGCAGATTTCCTGAATTGGAGCTTCTGTCTGAGTGGAGGGGGAAACGAGATGTGAGTAGGACAGTGGGGTGCTGGTGGGAGACATGAAAGAAATGTGTGCTTTCCTCAGAGTGAAGCTTGAGTTGTGCTTTGCACATGTGCTCTTTCCAGAACCCGTGAAGGAAGGTTCTACGATGGTCTGTTCAGCTCTCAGGAGAGTTGCCTACATGCGTGTGTACCTGGTGAGGAAGGCCAGTAGTGTCTCCAGAAGCCATCCGTCCCTAGGCTCAGGGCTTGCTGCCGGAGGAGCTCCAGGGAGCGTGGAGCTGCTGGGTAAATCCTACCCGCGGGACGACTACAGCAACCTCTCCAGCAAAGTGCTCACCAGGGTTGGCAGGAACTTGCACAACCAGCAGCATCACCCTCTTTGGCTGATCAAGGAGAGAGTGAAGCAGCATTTCTATACGCAATATGTGGGCCGCTCCGGGACTCCGCTCTTCTCCGTCTATGACGACCTTTCCCCGGTGGTCACCACCTGGCAGAACTTTGACAGCCTGCTTATCCCAGCGGAGCACCCCAGCCGGAAGAAGGGGGACAACTATTACCTGAATCGGACCCACATGCTGCGGGCGCACACGTCCGCGCACCAGTGGGACCTGCTGCACGCGGGGCTGGACGCCTTCCTGGTGGTGGGCGACGTTTACCGGCGCGACCAGGTGGACTCCCAGCACTACCCCGTCTTCCACCAGCTGGAGGCCGTACGGCTCTTCTCCAAGCACGAGGTGAGTCCCAAGGCGGTTCACATTGTTGAGGGTCAGCGTGGACATTTTGTGCAGGTCACTCGAGTTTATCTCAATGAAAGCAGCATGGCTGTCCTTTGCATTCATGGAAGATCCATCCTTGCTTGATGCCAGCCCTCGTACAGGCTGAGCCTCACTATTGTTTGACCGATTGGTAGGCTTTTGATTTCTCCTGCCTGTCCTTATCCTTTCAATACTCACCTGCCTTGCTCTGGTTTCTTCTTAAGAATGAATAGTCAGTCACTCAGATTTACCCTCAGTCCGAGAGGGCTCCTGATACAAGACTGAAACTTGGGGTCAGGTTATTCCACTTCTCAGTTAGTTACTTATGTGCTCATGGTGTTAGAGATTAATGCATTTCTTCTATTGTGGTACAGGGGACTGGTGATGTCTTAATTATTGCTATTCTTGAAGTATATGTTCGGATGCCTTTTTTA